TTTTTGTGGAACTGGGGATTGAACTCAGGTCCTTGCACTTGCCAGGGAAGCACTTATTCCACTGAGCCATCTCCCCGGCCCCCAGCCTGCATTCTTGCTGTGTGCACCAGAGCTAGTCCTTTGATTGCTCTGGAACTTTGTTCACCTGACTGCCGACCTCACCCAAGCAGAGTGAATACTGAACGAGGGCCATTGACACAGGGGCTAGGGCAGGAGGCATGATTTTGTTCATTCCACAGGTAGTAAACAGGCTGGAGCAGGGGAGGGAATGGCTCCGGGTCTCAGCCTGCTCTCCCAGCAGTTAGGGGTTGGAGTAGGAGTGTATTATAAGACCCTGTTTCTTGCCTCTCTGGTCTACTTGGTTTCTGATGTACAGAAATTAGGTAAGTGGGGAGGAGTCCAGATTGCCAGCATGTCCAGCAAAGGCTGCGATTGGGTTAAGCAGAGGATGCCTAAGTCCATGGGTGGCCCTGTTCAAGTTCATCTCCCAGCTGGGCACTAGGGGACACTGAGGACAGCCCACCAAGGAAGGACTCTCCAGTATCTCCCATCTCAAGAGACCCTGCCCTGGGGACCAAGCGAGGAAAGTGTAAAGGGAAAATTCTCCTGATGAGATGATAGGAAGTGCCTCTATACAGACCGTAGTAAGCTCAGTTGAATTATTCAGAGAGTGGATGACTTTGGATGCTTAGATACAGATAGGATTTGTGGAAAACAGCTTGTAATCAGTCTAGAATGGTGGTGGTTGTGATTTCTTGAGGAATGTTTGGGGGAGATTTATGTGGTGGCTACAGTCCCAAGGTCCCTGTTGGCTAAGAGAGTCTGAAGGTTGTTGACTGTTGAGGTTCCTCATCCAGAGATGCAACTTTGTCTGCAGAGCAGGCACATCCACTGTGTTTGCCTTTCAGAGCCCTGGTGGGCTGAGCTCACCCTTGACCACTAAAAGTTACCCATTTATCTTGTGGTGAGGTCAGGCTAGGAACTCACTGGTGAGGAGGGAAGAAGCAGAGCTGGAGCCCAAAGCCCTGGCTCGGGGACCTGATTCTGCCATTTGTTGTGTGGCCATGGACGAGTCACTTGACCTCTTGACCAAATTGAGTTGCTTTTGTTTTCATCTTTTTTTTTTTTTTTGTGGTACTGGGGATTGAACTCAGGACCTTGTGCTTGCCAGGAAAGCGCTTATTCTACTGAGCTATCTCCCCGGCCCACTTTTGTGTTCATCTATATGCCTGTGTGGATAACCTCAAAGAATTTTTTTCAGCAGTCAGAGAGGTATGAATAGACATGAAAACATTTTGCAAGCAGTGAAATCCCATATCTCATGGGGAATTGTTACTACTTTTATCCAATGAGCAGGCAGGATGTTTTTGTATGTGTTCATTCTTAAAGGAACTAGAGAAGCCAGGAGGATGGATTTCCTTAACTTTAGAATATTAATAAATCAGGACCTGCTCCAGGGATGACTGGAAGGTGTGACTGTATTCTGTGCTCTGCACATGGCCACTGGGAAGCTGGCTTGCCACCACCCAAGATGTTCTAGACGAGGTGCTGGCAGCCTAGATGTCTATTGAGAAGGACTCAGAGGAAGCACATCATTGATCCCAGTTCCCATTATACAGATGTATCATGCGGCCAGTATTCCAGCCTAGCTGGTGTAGCTCAGGGCTCTGTTCTCTCTACGGTGGGACCAGTGCCATGAGCTTTCTGTTGCTAAGTGTGTCTGGGACATGGATTGGTGAGAGGGATCTGTTGTGGGCCAGGCTGTAGACTAAGATTTGTAGAGGGCAACTGGTGTGCATAGGACAGGCTGCAGGTGGGGGTAGGGGATGTGTGCTTGTGTCCCCGTATGAGCAGCTGTATCTTCCGGGGGATAAGTGTGTCTCTGTTCAGTGGCAGGGGAACCCTTTGGTGCTTAGGAAATATTAGTGCACACCCTGGTCATTGTCTTTCTTCAGCCTGCTGCTCATTTGTTCGCTCGTTCATTCGTTCATCCAGTATTTTCTGGATGCCGCGCTGCCCCTCCTGGGTGCTGTATATGTAGCTCTTCTGTTTTCAGCTCCTGGATGATTTAGGGAGAGGGTTCCAATGTCACTGGTTAGAGGAGAAAGCTGGCTCCTGTCCAGAGTCCCAGCCTCTCCATGGGACTGAGAGGTGGCCTAGAGGAGCCTGCTCCAAATCGTAGGTCTCTAAGAATCCTCAGCTGTTTGCCTGTCCCAGCGGGAGGGGACAGCTCCTGTAGATGGAAAATGTGAGGCAGTGGCTCTGTGGCCTGGGTGGGTGAGGAGCTCTTAGGGCTGCCAGCATTCCTTGAAGAGGAGCGGGGTACACACTGTCTTGCACAGACAAACACCCGTACACATTCCCAGCACAGGCTCGGAGACCTCAGCCACGGACAGTCTAACAGATACATCCAGGGAAACGCTGATGTAAGCTTCTCGCTTAGTTTTGTGGTACGCACCTGTGATCCCATCCCTCGGGAG